ATGTTTGGTGGGACGGGGATTCGAACCCGCTCGAGCGCCTTATCCACCTGGCCATGCCGGGCACAGCTTTAGTGAGCTATTAAGATTAAATGTTATAGTGTACCAAATTTTCTGATTTGTCAACAAATATTTAATATGTACGTTTAAATCATTTTACAATGACATTATTTTAGTCTCATTCATATAATTACAAATTAGGAATAATAAATTTTACCAAACAGCGTAAATCTGTGTGTTACTAAATTTTCTGGCTCCAGATCTTTCAATGCTATTAACCTTTTATCCTGGTTGTTTGGCCAGGTGAAGACCTCTCTCTTGCCAATTGTATTTCCTAACAATCAAAGTTTATCAATGGCATTTGAGTTGAATTTCTTCGACAGTATTGGTGTGAGTTAGAAATCTGTGCAAGATAATCGTTGCAGACGTTTTGATATACGTAAAGAAAGTTCATTTATAAGCTATTCTCTAAAACCAAAAGTTTTATTAATTTTAATTTTATAGTATGTTTTGTAATTAAAGTGAAGAACCCATAGAAAACCATAAAATGGTAAGAGTTGCTATTTTAAATAGTTTATATAATAGTAACGTGATTGGTTAAACAGTAAGTCATTCACTTATTATATTTATTTGTAGCAAAATGATTTACTACCAAGTTTATTAACCATTTGTTAAAATTAGAGATACTACTGAAAACAGAGCTACATACATAGAGAGCTAGCATTGAAAGGTTTTAGACCAAGTATTATAACTAGTGAAACAATCTGTTATATATGTGTGTATGTATATATACACACACTTATAAAATGAAACATGAAAATGTTAAATTATTGTATATTATTTATAGATTTAAATAAGTGTCCTTTTCTGGGCGAATAGATGTTATACAATATATTAATTATAGAAATGAAAACTGTAGAACAAGTGATGATATTAATAAGTGTCTTAGATATAAAACGTCAGAAACTGCAAATATATGTCATGCAAGATAAATATAGAAGCGAAAACTATAGCACTAATGAATTAGTAAGGTGTTTTATACATAAAGCAATGAATAATTGTAAAATTATGTAAGGTAATTTATTGGCTATAATATTTGCCTCATTCAATAAGGGATAAAATATGACATATGTAATATACTGTTATAATAGTTATCTCATTGAAATATTGGATGAATTAAAATAGTACCTATGATAAGAATTGACATATGCAATACACTATACTATAATAGTTGTCTTGTTAAAATAGTGATTTAACTTGTAACGTTTTCAGGACATATAAGTAAGTCTAGACATTGATGACGTGATCACATGCTTAGACACTCTACAATGAGCTCATTATCCTGTCAAACAATCCACCTATAGAACCTTAGTAACATCATCCACCTTTGTAGAACATATGCAGTTAAATATATAAATGAAAACTATAAACATATGTTGAGACGAGTTGAGATCTGTATGCAGTCCTAAAGAAGATAGTAACACTGTCCACCTATAGAAACACTGTCTGCTTTGTAATGCACAAACAATATGCCTAGTAAGACCATCCACCTAAAGAAACACCGTTTGCCTTTGTAAAACGTACACAATTAAATATATAAGCAAAAACTATAAAGTTGATGAGAACTAGATATTAAAATAGCAGTTTTAATGTTTTACTTATAAAGCGAAACTTTAATTGTGATAAAAACTTTTTAGTATGGATAACTATAAACACAATGTTATGCAAGTTAAATTAAATCATTAATTTTAAGACCTTCATTGTTACTATAAAGTTGATGAGAACTAGATATTAAAATAGCAGTTTAATGTTTTGCTTATAAAGCGAAACTTTAATTGTGATAAAAACTTTTTAGTATGGATAACTATAAACACAATGTTATGCAAGTTAAATTAAATCATTAATTTTAAGACCTTCATTGTTACTATAAAGTTGATGAGAACTAGATATTAAAATAGCAGTTTAATGTTTTGCTTATAA